AACTGGTGAAACAGACAGCTATGAGAAACTGTAGTTAGATAAAAGAACTAAATCTTTTATTTCTAGATATAGAAGATAATGTAAACTATCTAGATACAGATAGTCTAAATAAATAATCCATGCGCAGTAGAGTGCTTCTGCAGAACTTAGTTTGTCATGAATGGAGGCTTCACAGATAATTCCAAGTTTATCCTTCATAATGCTACAATGTTAATGACAAGCTCCAATACTAGTGGAAAGCATCTTAAATAACCTACAGGTGTAAAAAGACAGCCCATAAAACAAGTGACTGTCATCAAACTGTTTACTGAAAACAGCTTGACTCCATAGTAGTAGCATCTTTTCCTGGTTTATATCGTAGCAACTTTGGCTGCTTAGTGTCTTCATAAAATTGACAATATTGAGAAGAGATGATGTGAAGGTGTGCAGATTGGAAGAGGTGTTATCTAGTGATTAGAGGACATCACTGAGAGCTGGAACATCCAGTGTATGGTTTTAATTTTTCTGCCGAGATTCAGTGATCTACCACGCCTCTGTTTGTCTCTCAGCAAATTCAGTGTCATAAAAAAGTCTGTTTTCAAGATAAACTATTTGAATTATTTGAAAACTCTGGGATCTTAGGAGAAAATTTACCTTTTGTTTTGCTTCAGCTTTTATAAATATATATATACATATATGAGCTAAGAAGTGTCAGGTTCCATTTCTTAAGAAACTTAAGTGAGAAGTAGCTTTCTTCACAGTAGGAATCAGATTTGTATTTTAAGACTGCTCGACTGGTGGGGTTATTGCCGCGAAACTCTTAATTAAATGAAAAATGGGGAAAACTCCTTTACTTGAGTGGTACAAGGTCAGAATGTTCACCAGAAATGTGTAAAAGAGGAGATGGAAATAGCTGAGGTTTTTCTCCAAATTCCTTTTTGAGTTTAGCATGGTGTGCTTGGAACAGTTCTACAAACTGCAATAGCATCTGCAGATAAGCACATGTCCATCACTTAAGCTTAATTCATGAAAGGCTAATTCATTTAATGGTTCAGCTTTCTAGTATTTATTGCCAAATTGCCACGCAAGGTTCAGGTGCATTTACCCTTGAGTGCTTTTAGCTGTTTTTTCCATATTACTGTCATATTGTTCCTTCCAAGGATGCTTGTTATAATTTTTAGTATTTGCAAATGACTTAATGTGGTGTTAAGCCTTTTTAGATACGTATCACCAGAACAAGATACTGCTTGAGGCAGACAGATTAGTCTTCTAAACTAGATCCTAACCCTATAATGATCCAAACCAAATACCATCCTAAGATGCCACCGTGTCGAGCCCTGAGGGTAGAGGTGCCTAGTATCTGTCGAGATACCAGATGTTGAGATCTTGACACACTCTGATTTCAAGTCTCCCATGAGCTCAGTAAACCTGGTTACCTTAGAATGAGGAAAGCTTTACCTTCCTTAACACTGCTTTCAAACTAGCATCCCTTTATTAAAATAGATGTATTTGCAGAGATGGTTCAGCTGCAGCTGTACTTACCTCCGTCTGCACTCAGAATGACTTTCGTAGGCCTTTAACTGTGACTCATCCTCTGCAGGTCACCAGGACCCCTACCAGAACCACTTCCAATCCTGTCTTCTCTCTCCTCCTTTCTCTGGGTGTCTAGAATTAGGGAGTTCACTGCACAGCTCCTCCATATCCATAGCTCTTCTTTTTTTTTTTTTCGTTTCAGTCGGAAAGGAGAAGTTGGTAAAATTAAAGTTTAGCAAACCGCTCCTTTTCACTGTGGGAGCTGTGAGGAAAGAGCCCAGCAAGCTGCACAGAAATTCCTCACAAAAACTGAGTCAAAACCAGTAACAATCAAAGTGTTATTCTTCAACAGGAAGTTGCATTTTTAAGAATAGACCATTTTTGAAAATTGAATCCGTGTCTCCTAAGAGTATGAAATCTGTCCAGAATTTACAAGATTCACGTCCAGGGGAAGTTTTTGCCTTCGTCTAGTCGCCTTTCTTATTCTGTTTCTGAGAGAGCAGAAATTAAATAGTCTAAAAAAACAGTCAAGAAAAAAGAAGGCCAAAGGAAATTTCATATTGACAATGGAGGTTTAGGATATATTGTATTTTTTAAACTATTTACATTAAATTTTTTTTTTAACTATAGTAATTTAAAATAGCAGAAGAAGGGGAATTCCAAATATCTGACAGTTTTAAGTAGCTGAAGTCTAACTTACCAAAATGTATGGCCTTATTATATACCTACAGTTAAATACTTTGTGAAATACCTAGTAAATACAAACTTCCTTTATATGTCTTAATGGACACTGAAAAGCAAGGAGAATTTGTCAGAAGGCTGAGAAGTAATGGATATTTGAAAACAGACTAATTTTAACTACTGAATTTTATAGTAGCCAATGTTTTGATTTCATTCATACAAAAGGTAATGTGTATATGACCTTTGTAGATCAAGGGAGTTGGTTCTGCTTTTTGTCTGTGCAATTAAAAGCAGACTTGGTTATTCCTTGGTTATTCTCCATGGACAGAGAAATACTAGCATGGTTGCTTTTGTGACCATTCTTGCCCTGCAAACTTAGGTGTCTGCATTTGTGTGTTTCATGAAGTTGTGGTAGTTTTCTGAAAATTATATAATACAGTTTAAAAATGAAACCCTTGGTAAGGCAGACCATATATGTAGGGTCTGCTTGTGAAACTTCATCACTTGAATTATTGTAAACTTTCAAAATCTATTCTAATTGCCCATGCTTTCAAAAGGCATTCTGCTTCTCACTGTAGCTACAAGTAGGAGCAGATGCAATTTTGCTGGTATCCTTGCTGTGTAAAGTCTCTCTTCAGTTACTTCATCCTGAAGCGCATTCTCACAACTTCATGCCTGTGAGAAATACACGTTCCTTGTCCCTGGCATGCATAATCTGTATGCGAACTGTTTATCATGGCATGAATTCAGGTAGCAAAAGTCTTTCCTTTGGTGCATGCTGTTGCCTACTTTTTACTGTCACATAGCTTCCTTTATACCATATCAGTCTTTCTTTTCAGGAAGAATGTGTAACGAATAAGTCCCAACATAGAACTATGTGCTCATAAAATGTGAAGTGTAGTGATAACTATTAGACAAATTTTGCCTTTGTATGTAGATCTTTTTTTTGGGATGCATTTAAGAGCAGAATCCAGCACAATATTGCTTCTAATCAAGCATTTCTTTGCATCTTCATTAACATCTGAGATAAGAATTTTGAACTCAGCAATGTGTGTAAAATGAATGGGAGTTAGACACACAAATTTCTAAGGCAGTAGTGAAAATCTCGGATGCAGTCTTTACTCAGATGGCTTAGCAGTTGTTTAGGAACATGCCTTGTCGATAAGTATTTTTCTTAATTACTATTACAGACGTTTACAGCCTGGTGCAATTCCCACCTCAGGAAAGCAGGCACGCAGATTGAGAATATTGAGGAGGACTTCAGAAATGGCCTCAAACTGATGCTCCTCTTGGAAGTTATCTCAGGTTGGTTAAAATAAAGTTTGCTCTGTATTTACAGCATGCTAACTGAAACAGTCTTAAAAGAACAAAAAATGTTAACAGTTCAAAACAGTGAACACAAACAGTGAACACAAACTCTGAGTAGGCTGAAAAGTGAGAGACGAAACATGCTGTAAAACAAAAGGGGGGGGGAAGCTCTTTTTCCTTATTTCCAAAATTTTCTGGTGTGTGCTTGCGTTCCAGGATATCACAGTGTATCAGGGTATCACTGACATCACTGTGTGGTTGGACAAACCACAAACACTGGGGACCTGGTCTTAGCCCTTAACACTTAAAAAGCCTTTACAATTAGGTTACGAATTAATTTCATTCCACTTGTAGTATAAAAGTTTTGCTTTACTTTTATTGACTTCATTGGATGTACCAATGCTTTCAAAAGTGAGTGCCTAAAGTAAAACTAGATCAGTATTGAGTCACAAGTAAAAGGTCTCGTTTTTCAGAAGAGTGGAACATCCAAGAACTCCTTTTGACTAACTGATGTAAACTCACTATGCCACCCATTTTATGTATCGTTCAGAGGGGCAGTCCCCAAGGTACAGACAGAATTCCCTTGAATGGGAAGGGGATGGGAAGGGAGTAGCTACAGAGTTACAGACACACCATAAAGGTGAAAGAGGGCAAGAAGATTTTTAAGATGTGTTTATGGAAAAGAGACAGTTTACATTTTTGCTGGAGATTTCAGTGGGGAAAGAACGTCTTCAAATGATCACTCTTCATGAAATGGAGAGTCATATTTTCAGAAATTATTCTTCATGATCATTTGAAAAGATAAGTCCATTCAAACACATCAGCCTGTGTGAAATGAGTGGCTCTGCTGTACGGGATGAGGTTGTTAAAAAGCCATTGCTCTTGGTCGGATGTGGAAGGATGCTATGGCTAATGTGCTGGAGAGAGTCCAGCCTCTCTTTACAGCCTGGCAGGTGAGGGTGATGAGCGCTGAGAACATGCTGCCTCCTTGATATTCCTCTACTCCAATGCAGTCAGTAGCAACGAACCAGAAGTCAAGTAGCAGGAAACACTCACATGTCTTCCAGATGTTTAGGGCAAACATAAAAATTTTACTCTGGTTTTACTGCTATATCAGAAAGATGTAAGTCAGATTTTTTAACATTTTAATTTTCTCTTCAGGGTTTTGTTCAAAAACATTTGACATTCTTTCAGAAAAAAACCTGTTAAAATAGCTTCTAACTTTTAGACAGTGTTCAAGGCACATTCACTCTTGAATACTAAACACTTGGGTGTGTGTAACAATAAACACGTTAAATTTGTTATTCTGCAGGGGAAAGACTACCGAAACCAGACAGAGGGAAGATGCGCTTCCATAAAATTGCTAATGTCAACAAAGCTCTGGATTATATCGCCAGCAAAGGAGTGAAACTTGTGTCTATTGGTGCAGAAGGTACGTGACAGAACTTGACAGTGAACCTTACTTAGATCTTAGGCATTCACATTGCAAAGAAGTCTGATAGAGACCCTTGGCCAAATTGCGTTTGCTGTTCTCATTAAATGGGTACCTCAAAAATCTCTTAACTGATTGCTGACCTATGTCTGTGCAAGGACAAGAGGTGGAAATTTGTGGACACCTGGAGAGGGATAGGGGTATAAATGGGCTGTAAGATTAGTTCATCTCAAAGATTAAATTGAATTGCCTGTGTGTTTCAGTGGGTGTGCAGATAATGATTTCTTCTTTCAGAGCACTGTGTTTTTCCTGTACATTATTAAAAATAAGGAACTCCTTTAGAGATCAGGTTGGATTCTAGGGTGTGCTTTATCCAATCTGGGATCTTTTTTTATCTTTAGAAGATATTATTTCAGACAATACAAAGGCTGATGTCCCTACCAGGTGGCTGGGACCTAGTCCCATTTTGTTATGAGACTGACTGCATGGCAGCTGTGTTTCTGAAATTCAGATGCAGAGTTAAGGCAGTGATCAGAAGAAGTTATGGTAGCTGGGGAGAGACTGAGCATGGGAAGAAAGTGGGGCGGGATGTTGTTTACTGAAGTTATTACTTTGTTATTGTTCTGTTGTTCAGGTCGTTAAATGAAAACATGCAGTTGGCTAGCTAAAGGATGGTAGACATAAACTCTGAGCAAAAGAAAGCAGGCTCTCACTGCAAGTGAGCCTATGCCTCCTATGAGATTCAAAGGATTGGTTAAAAAGGACAAAGGTCTGTCCAGAACTAGCTGCTCCATGGATATATTTGCATAATGCTTTGCATAGCCGTTACCATACAAAGGAATGATGTGGCTAGCATGGTATCCAACTACTTTTGATTCCATAGCCTCAAATGATGTGCTGTCCATTCTGGAGCAGCCTCTAACATGTCCTTAGAGCAAAACTCTGGCTGTAACCTCAGTATCACGGTGAGAAGCACTGGCTATATTCTATTGACATTGCTAGGCCTTTTTAGATTGATTCATGAGCCTTGTTTTCCTGTTTTCTGATTTCTCCAGGCTTATATATGTCCTTATTCTGGCTTCCAAACATCTCAGGGAGCTTACTGTAATTGTGGCTGGAGCAGGCAGATTTATTAGGTGGGATAGGGGCATCTGTAGATGATCTATCAGCATTTGGTGATTCCACAATGGTTCCACCTAGCCTGCTTGGTTCCTCAAGCATTGTTTGCCAAATGTATTCAGTTTCTAGATCTAGAATTCAAAAATCCCAAGAAATGGGTTCTTTCTGGGCAGAGCATTCATTTGAACTCACCTTTTATTCATTTGAGACTGAACTGGTAGGCCATCTGAGTCCAAATCCGTACTGTCTATCTTTAGGCACATAACAGAGACCTTTTTTGATCGATAGATATGTATTGAGATAGATTGAGATATATTGTCAGTGGGGAGAGACGGGCAATTCCCAAAGGCACTGCAGATCTCAGAAGAGCTCTACTGCATTTCAGAGGTGCCTGCTCCCTCTGTCAGTTGTACAGGCACTCGGGGCAGCTGGACCCTTTGCTCAGTTAAATGAAGTGGGATGGAAAAATATGCCACTACCCTAAACTTCTGCTGTTAATGTTATTTGGAGACTGACGTGGCATTGAACGGGCAGCAGAGGGTACTGAGGAGACAATTTATATGTGGAAATGAAAACTACAGAAACCTGTTTGATAGCTGGTGCAGAAATACTGAGAGTACAGGGTTTGGAGCAATTGAATGGTAGTTTGTGTCATGTCGTGCTGGGACTCCAAGGCTTCCCGACAGAAACCAAGAGTGCAGCAAAAGGAGTCACTTGTGGGACAGAGTGGTCGTTCTCTCTGATCACGGTTTGCACAATGTACTAATGTTTTCACACTTAGGCTCTTCAAGCAAGGCTGGAGCATTTAAGCTGAGATACATCAGCTCATATCTGTTCCTGAAAGGAGCAGGCCAGCCCTCTGCCGTCCCATCTCCCCCATTTCACCCTGCTTATTACTGCCAGGGTGCTCAGACTAGGGAGCAGCGCTCAAGCACTTTCTGTATCACCTGAAGACAAAGCATCTGGGATAGCTCAGATCAGCCATTAAAACATTTAAACTAACCCTGCTGTCCTCCTTGGCAGCAACTGGCATGAGCTTAGACGCTGTGTGGTGATAGGTAATTCCCTCTGGGAGGGAGGCAGGAGCAAGAGGCAGTAAGCTCTTCCAGCTTCTCAGCCAGCTGCTGCAAGGTGATGGCTATCCATGCACCCAGTATTTCCTCCTGCATGTAACAGCAGGCCGTAGTTAGCAAGTCAGGAGATTAAGGTGATGTTCCTGGCTGCACTGCAGGCTTTTATTGCCTGATTTTGGAATTCTCAATCTGGAAAATGAGGCGATTGGAAGCAAAAATTCATTCACTAGGATTAAAGAAAATGTTTTAAATTCTTGGATGGAAGCACAGGAGAAAAATCCACTGCTACTGTCGCAGCTTATACGCAGAGAGGAACCTGTCATCGTAAGACATTGCAGTATGTGAAGTATGGCCACTAACACACATTAGATTACATCCATGTGGGCAGGGGCACATAGATTCATGTGCCTTCCACTCCTACTCTAAACAGGCTGAGCAGAAAGCCAGCTCTGGCCCAGACGTGCTTAGTGCCCTGTTAAGTTTACCACATCCCCTCTACTGAATCTGTTATCTAAAGCACAGTGCTGTGCTGATGCAGCAACGCAGTATCACTGGGTATAGTTTCACAGTGTGGGACCTCTGGCACCAGTACGTGTTTAGAGAGTCCCTCTGCCCCCTTGTCCTGCATACTTGCTCCCACACTTCACAGCCCTGCCTTATCACTTGGGCTGACAACTGTTTCTGTAGCTATGCTGGAGACTGGATCAGCAATCTGATCTGGTTTTAGAACACACTTCACCTCTTTTTTTTCTTTTGTTGTATTTTTCAGCATTGTTGACTGGGCAGCCGTTATAGTATGAAGATAGAATGAATGCCAGCAAGGAGGCAGAGCACAGGCTCCTTAGGCTTGTATTGTTATCAAAGTCCTTAACCCCTTAACTCACTGCCCCTGTGTGTGAGCATGGGGCGTAGGGGCTTGTCGGCACCCATCTGTTTTGGCATTCTCTGAGTTACATGGATGCTTGGGATACTTTTTAATTTCCAAAGCATGGAAGTCTTGTATCTAAGTCTGCTGAGGATCATGTTTTATTATCTGACATGCTGAGTGGTGATGAGCACATAGGCCCAGGGGACTAACTGGCATTTAAAATGAGGCCTCAAAACAAAGATTAAACTGCAGTTCCTGTGAGACATCGGTACAAAGGTCAATTTAGTATTTTTAAGGGGCCAGGGATATTCTTTAAAGCCATCATTACTGTTCTGAGGCTAACTTACTTGGGCTGTCTGTGGAGTGGATAGAGAGAGGGGATCACCTTCAGCTGTAATGCTGAGCAGAAGCCCAATTTAGCTACTTTGATTTGTCTTGTGGAAGAGTCTTTCTGTCCATTGGTGATGAAATGAGATGAAAGAGTCAAGAAGCTAAAGAAAAAGTTGTGAAAGTAGTCCCTATGAGCCATTCACAGTCCAAGAGTTAGAAGTTTTCCCTTAAGTTTTTAAAAAAGTGCAGTAACTCCATGCAAGGTAATTGCATCGTGAATGAAATGAACTGAGATATGGAGAACCACAAAAGATAAGTATCCTGTTAATAGGAGATACTTCTGTATTGCTTTTCTGGGGAGTAGGAGAAATATTAAAGACCAACTGATCTGTGAATCTGCTACTAGAAGGTTAAAATAAAAAAAAACTAAAGCCAAAGCAGAATAAAAAACCAAAACTAACACCTTTGGAAACTTGCCACACTGCTTTGCTTAGCTTTTTCCCTGGGCAGTTTTTATTATTTCCCCTTCCCTTTCCATCCTCTCCTTTCCTGTCCTCACAGGTCAGCAAGACCTTTTTTCCCAGAAAGCTGTAGCTTTGTGTATGTGAGGTGCAGGGACTGTATTCCTCTCAGAGCAAACAGGCAGCGTGAAGGAAATAATGAAGTAGTCTTCTACTGGCCTGCAGAGGAAGATGATCGGACTGAATCAGTATTTTTTAGTCACTGATACTTTTCATCATTTAGCAATCTCTTTTTCCTTTTGTTTAGATATTTTTCCTTGTTTTTCATACATGTCTTTTTTTGTGTTGTATGTTAGCAGTAGATAATGAGAAACCAAAGCTGGCAAATTGCTTGAAAATTCTCCTGAGGCACAACACAGAAAATTCCCTCTCTTGCTCTTTCATTCTGTCAGTGTCTACATATGGATATGTAAATCAAAACAAGGATGTAGTGACTATGCAAATCCACAAATTGATTGCCTGACAATCAGCAATTCCTCCTGAGTATTTAAATTAATTTCTTTTACATTTGAAGAAATTCTTCTGTACTGTATATACATATCACATATCTGATCAAAATACAGTGAAATATGTGACTGAAGAGGGGGGAGAAGAGAGAAGTAGCTACATGCCCTAAAGGCCATTTGGTCTTTTTTTGGCTGAAAGAGTTTAGTTTTGAGATTTTAAGAGTCTTGAGGTCTTTCAGAGCCAATAAGATAGTAATAATGCATGGAAGGCAGGCAAAGTGAGGTAAGAATTCTGGAAAATTAGCATCGAACCCAAAAGGGAAAGCAGAAAAGTAGCCATTCATGTATCAGCTTGGATTATCACACTAGCAAAGTAAGCATAGACTAGTGATGGATGCCATATCTCCTACCACATTTGTTAATTCCATAGGTTCAGATAACAGCTTGTGTCTCACAGTACTGCAATTTAACAGGTATCTCAAGTCTTGGAGCTAGCAGCTGCTTTGTTCTGTGGAAGTTGCCCCTGGATTCAGGCAATTCCTAACCAGCAGAGCGACTGCATTTTCTGCTGGCACCTCTATTGGCATTTGATGTTCAGTTGAGGAAATTCCTCCTGCTGCGAGTGCCTCTTGCTCCTTCCCCAGAACATCAGCGGGCCCCCAGGCAGCCACAGCTGCTCCAGTGTTTGAGGAAGGCTGGAGGTGACTTTTGAGCAGGGGAGCAGCTGGTGCCTTCCCCACTCCACTGCTCTTCTGGTGGGAGATGACTGGAAAGGCAGTCTGATGTTCCCCTCTCTCATTAGCCCACCTCCTCCCCTTCCAGTGCTGGGCCCCCCTTCATAGTCTCCCTATGTTCTTCTGAGTCTCTCACCATACTTTTCAGATTGATTTAACATTATCACCCCACGTAAGTGACCTGGCAGTACATTTTTTGGTGTTGAGAAATTTAAGCAGTCTCACTGTTTGTGTTGCAATGTAGGAGCACCAGATTCTGACTTAGCTTGTGTATGTGTGAGAGAGGTTGGAGAAAGCATCTTCCTAGTGCCCTGTGTCGTAGGTAGACTCAAGCAGTCTTGAAACAAATTGAAACACCAGAGATAAAAAATCCCATTTTATATTGAAGATACATAAATGGGCATAGGCATCAGAGCTGTAAGACATTACAACCTCGTGGCCATGTGTCTGAACTGCTTGGCAGGAATCTCTGTAGCTTAGTCCCAGGAAATGCTGTGTCTCTTGGGGTGTTCTTCATAGCTGGTCTGCGCTGGCACCATAGGTAAAATTCTCAAAAAGTTCTAAATAGTATAGGGGGATTTCTAAGTATTACTCTACTAAAAAATAATACTGTTAATGTCCTGCAGCTTCTTAAAATTTGGGGTAAGACCATATTTTTTCAGTTCCTTTGTATTTGAAAACAGTAAGGCTGATACTGTTCAAACTTTAAGTAAGTATTTCCCCTCAGGCTCTCAGCCTAGAAGGTAAAGATTTGAGACAGTTACAACAACAGGGAGAGAAGCCTTTTAGCATGGAAGGGCTGAAGTGACCTTAACCTGAGTAATCTTCAGCCCTACTGCCAGGGTAGCACAAGCATGAGTTTGTTGAAAAATGAACCCAGATGAACTCTGTGTAGATAAAGAATTATAGTAGAAATGCAACATATTTATTAAAAGCAATATATTATTTATAGAAATATATTACTAAAATATGAGAAAATGGAAAACACATTCTAACTACTACTACTATCTCTTTTTTCACTGTAGAAATTGTTGATGGCAATGTGAAAATGACGCTGGGTATGATCTGGACTATCATCCTTCGCTTTGCTATTCAGGATATTTCAGTGGAAGGTAATAGTAATGCAGTAAATGTGTTTAAAGATGTTTTTGTATGAATTGTGCACAAGTGAGATGAGTGTTTTAAAAATGAATTATTTTTTCACAGAAAATGATACTGCAAGTTCGCTGTCTGGTGACAAAATCAATTTCTGGAGGGAAAAAGTAATCGCTCTCCTTGTCCTGAGAGAGACCTCGCGACAGCTCTCTAAATGCAGAAGTTCTGGGCACATCTCTCAGTTATAGAGATAGAAACATGTCTGTGTTTCTGAGCTTCAGTGGCCTGAAACTATGCCGTACCTTGTATAGTGGTCCTATTTCCAGTACACCTTTTTAGTCATGTCCATTTCTTACATTCTTTGCAAATATTATCTGATTATATCCCTCTTTTTTCTATCACTTTTTTTCCCCCCACTGCTTCAGAATTTTTTTTCTTAACTTTCAGTTGGTAACTGACTCTAAAAAGTGTGTTATAGTTATAATAGTCTTTAAATCAAGTCTATGCTGTGAAAAGTCTAGAATTCTAGAAATTAACCTCAATTTTCAACAAAAGTAGAGTGAATTCAAGTTCTTCTACCCATAATTTGTGGGACGTGAAATGTGGCCCTAATGGTCTATTTGATCTGCTCCATCCTTTACTTACGCATTCAGATGCCCGTAGGGTTCAGATAATGAAGGTGTTTCTTCAGCACTTATGTCTCCCCATAAGCAACTGGACTGAGACTACAAGCATATTTCATGTAGGCACCAACACAATCTTTTATGTCTAGTTCTATTATATTTGTATTGAGTATTTTTCTCCAGATATACGTTCTTCTGTCCAGCCAATATAATTTCTTAAACTTCTAATACCCCAGAATTAATTGTGCAGGCTGAGACTCTAGTCTGAGTTGTTCCAGTTGAGCTGCCCTATGTGTCCCAATAGAGCCCCATCAGTCCATTTGTATGTCTTTTAGGATTAAATGTTGGCTTATGCCAACCAGTTTCAGGTGGCTTACCACATTTAAGATGACAAGAAATTAATTACTTGAACACTTTTTACATGTTTCCTTTTTTTACTCCCTGGTGTCTTACAGAGACCTCTGCCAAAGAAGGGCTGCTGCTGTGGTGTCAAAGAAAAACTGCTCCTTACAGAAATGTGAACATTCAGAACTTCCATCTTAGGTAAACTTCCAGTATTTCAAGGGTAGAAGCAGTCGAAAGTTTTTTAAGTCAAAATTTTCCCACAGTTGTGTAGGTATATATTTGACAGAACAATTTCACACTTCACTGCTAACTAGACTTTTTGCAGATTCTCATGCTCTATCTTCAGAGTCTTATTTTGCTTAGCCTTTGGCATTATTTACCATGGCTTCCATAGACACTATTTAAAAGAAGAAAAATCCCTGCTACATACAGAATGACCGTATTATGTTATTAGATGTCCTTGGTATATGGGAATATCTGAGTACCACAGCATAGTGACTTGGCAGATGACTGCTTTCAGATGAGAGCTGCTGTAGGTATAGGCTGTTCTTGGAAAAAATTCAAATGTGCTGAGCATGTAAGTATCTCATTATGATGAATCATTCTTTATTATTTTGTAACATAACTATGAATAAGCGGCCAAAAAGGCACTCACTACTCAATAGCAGCACTTCAAACGTTTTTGGAATCAGGATCATCATCTACGGTGGAAAATTTAGTGAAGCTCCAGCCTTGTGGTTCTGCGTTTTCATTATGGGCTAGAAAGGGAGTTGCAGGCCATATGCAGGCTGCCTGGTTTGGGGATTTCACGGGGCTAGGTCCTGTAGCTCTGCCGGTGACCCACCTCATTAAACTACATGACTTGCCATTTGCACTGCTTAACCACATGATCTTGCCTTCCCCAAAACCCGTTACAGTACTTACAACAAGAGCTCTGTGTTACAGCGCTTTGGTGTTTTGAGTTCATTCTTAATGTCTAGCACCTGAAGCACATGTAGTGATAAAGCAGATACAGTTCACACATGCGTCCACAGATAAAAAGAATTTGTTTCATTTACAGTCTCTGTATTGCCTTTAAGAGATCTGAAATTTGTTATGTGTCATTTTCCTTGAATATATGGAGGTATATTTCAGTAGAGCTTTATGTGGATGCAGAGTATACTGTAAATTACATTATCAGAATCCTACTGTTTGTACATAAATATGTTGATTGATATGTGGTATGGGGAAAGCACCTGGGGAGGAACAACCCCATGCACCAGTACAGGCTTGGGGCAGACCTGCTGGAGAGCAGCTCTGTGGAGAGGGACCTGGGTGTCCTGGTGGA